TAACCTACACTTCTTACACGTTTTAAATTCCACGAGAATCGCGAACGCTGGATTTCCTTTTTTACACAAACTGGCATCAAACAGAAATTTTTTTACTCCATGAAGGTTTTATTTCTAATTTTCCATAGTATGTTTTAAACACTATAAATACATAAAATCCACATTCTAGATTATAATCAAAACGAATTGGGATCGTGAGATTTGAGCGCCATTAGTGACGCCAGTCGTTCGTTTGCCAGTGTTGCGAGAATATCGAGGATTTTTCCGGCGAAGATCGATTACCGGTGCAAATTAATAAATATCCAGCCTTTCACCGGCGAGATTTCCAAGGCGAGTCGCGACATAGATCATAATATTGCGCGTGTGTGACCAGCACAACGTGTACAATGCTGCAATTTTACCGTCCGTTTGGCGTTAATTCTAATTGAAAGTCCCCCCGAAAAACTGGTCTAGCCGGAGGATTTCGATCCTTAAGCGGCGGTGTGTAGCGAGCACCCGATGGGGCTTACCGTTGAGATTTCCACGTGGAACAATGAACAGATATCCGATCTTAAGCTTCTACATAAATCATTGCGCATCGAGGAAAATGAAGGACACTCCGTGAACGAGTAGCAAGAAGTCGAGATACCATCGAGTCGAGAAGATTTCACGGGGGATTGGTGATTAACGATTTTTCCGAAAATGGAATTTAATCCTTGGAGATATGCTGATTTATTAGGCGTACAAATGAGTAATTCAAATTTTTCAGGATAACTCAAGGTTCATTTTAACAGACAGTGAAACAGATTCTTCGATCTGTTTTAAGGTTCTTGGGACCTTCGTGAATATTATTGAAGTCCCCATTTCGTTACGTTTTGCATCAGATTGCTAGGAGATCATTATAATTCAGTATAGTTTTCACTGGAGTATGAAACTAGAGAAATTCTACTGTATTCTTTTTTTTATAACAGTAACCTTGATCAATACATTAAAGCACGATATAAATACTTAAAATCCGGGGTCTAATAATAACGCTCGATAAAATCACTCGATTTAAAATCAGCAACCACCATCGTAGCGATAAGAGGCGAAGACACAACCCGATTACCGATTAATTGCGCCAACAACAGGTAGGTAATTGGGTTTAAAGCCGTCCTCTTTCGCGGCTCGTCGAAACTCGTGTATAATACCGCTACGTCGATCGTCGTCGAGTTTCCACGGATCGATTTCAGCCCGGAAGCTTGAATGGAACCATTGGTTTTCCACAGGTTTTGCTCCTGACGTGTCGTTATCCCTGTTAACGGCCGATATCGCATACCAGCCTTATCTGGCCGACATTACGTGCTGACGTACGAATATTTCGCGCCGATTAAAGCTCGATTCTCAGTGTCGCTCGAGGCTCAATCACGGCGACACTGTGCTTATGGTAATAATATATTATACTAGCTCTTTTTAGCATGTTTCGTTTGGTGTTGTGTGGTTTAACATTAAATTCGGTGCACACCAATGGCATATTATGATTAATTAAACCTTTTGGTACACTCGAGATTTTGTGTAGATTCAAATGTTAAATATCCTTTCGTCCTTTTTCTCTGGCGAATATGATGCTACGAATACTATTCGAGCATACTTACTTAATCTTCAAGTTTCACTTTAGAACTGTACGCTTGTTTCTTGGTTGTTGGGAATTTTAATCCGTTTCTTTGTTATTTAACAAATTTATCCATGAAGAATGTAAGATTTTTATCGTTCGAAAACCTGGCGAAACATAATGGATTACTCATTGATACACCTAATATAAATCATGATTAGATTACGGATCGGAATTATACTTGAAATTCTGTTCTCCAAAATGGAAGACTATATAAACGAGCGTTAGTGAGAATGATGCTGGATACCGCATTGATCTAGAATATATTAGTCTTTTAGTTTACTCTATTAGTCACTCACAGAAATAAAATAAATAAATTCGTAATATTGTATTTACTAGTATGTTGTATTAATAAGACTACATCTCGTGTTCAATGGGATTTCCATTAGTAATAATGCATTTCTGAGAATTTATTTCTGCCCTTATATGACCCTGAAGACCATAGTACACTACACAGTTGAACTCGCCTTAATGCTCGCTTTCATATGCTGTAAAAAAATACGTATCCCATTCCATTTCAAAAAATTTAGGTCACCTTTGTTTCTAGAAAAATATTAAAAATACAAAAATTTTAGATACGCTACCATATTACTAGTAAAATATACTACAACTTCCTCCTCTTTGGTTTTTTTTCTAACGTTCACCTTTACGAAAAAACCTTACGATTTTAAACTGTATGTATAAAATACTGTCCCCGCGATATTGATAAACGATGATCGTCGTTAGCTGATGCTCCCTAACAGTACGCGAATAATTTAATAATGGCAGATTAGCGGCGCGAGCACGAGAGATGGGGAACGAGGGAGAAAGAGCCCAGTGCACGAACGTACGCGGGAAATAGTCGCATGCGACATTAGTATGCTAATCGTCCTCTCGGCGCCAATAGTCCCAATAAATAATTCTCTTAACGCGGCGACAACCTGTCCGCAGTGCTCCGTATTATACACGCTACCGTTATGAGCGCATCCCCTGATCACAGGGAGAGAGAGAGAGAAAGAATGAGAGTCTTCCGTGACTTTCCAGGTTTCACGCTGACCGAAACGAAAAGACGAAAATGACACGAGGAAAAACGAAAATCGGAAACTGTCGATTCCGCGATAAATTACGCGATCACCGCCTATATTTCATTTCCAGCCGGCTTGCGTATATCATTATCCAGATACTGCGATTATTTCGTTGATCATTTAAAAGCCCACAGTGTCGTTTAACGCGGGACCAGGGGAACGTGGATGATAAGGAGTCGTTAATTCTTGGCACAAGGTAACAGTCGCCAATGGATAACTATCATTTCGACGTAATTTTTAACCTTATTTCAATTGGCAAATTGTAATATTTACAGTTTTGTTCATTTTTAAGAACACGGAATTTTTAACCCTGCAATGGTAAGGTCTTATATGACCCAAATGACGAACGAAGAAGTTGTGATCTATGCGGGGATTATTTCTATATACTTCGAACTTGCGTAGAAAATTATACAATAATTCCTTCAAAATTACCCGTTCTACATCACTTTCAGTTCTTAATATCGCACACGACACCGAAGTTTCGACTTCGACATAGGTACGTTATCTAAATACATATAATATTCCAGTTTCAAAATAGAACGTAAGAACCAAGTTGCGGTGAAATATCCAAACAAAACCAGAATGCCTAATTGACTCAAATTAATTAACAACGCGATAAATCATCGAATAGCAACGTTTATCGCCGTAACAACGTTACGTTGCTCGATCCAAACTTTCACGAGTTACCCGCGTATCGCGATTAAATTTATCCTAAATCGTAGTGTACTGTACGGGGTGATTTATCTAACTTTACCTCCTGAAATATTCTACTATATTTAAAATTTCATACAAATCTTTCCTGCGAAAGTTGCATGGTTTTGTGGGGATCGATTTGTAGTAATCAATAGCTTTATTCTATAAGCTTAATTCAGTAGCTATATATTTTTTTTATCATTATCCTGTAGCCACTTGAACCCTTGTGTAGGCAACCGGGTACTCAGGTACCCAGGTACTCATTCCTAAATTTGCTTTCTTAAATTTTCTTTTTTACTAAAGAATATGTAAATAAAATTCTGTTCCTAATTTTCAGTACCAAAGCAAAGTAACGTTCTTTTAAATTTTTGAGCTTTTGGAACGCTTCAAATGTTCGTCAATATTGGCACGACCTTGAAAGACTTATAGTTGTAGGTCGTTGAATTTACGATGGAACTGGCTATCGAAAAAAAAACAACGTTGACTACTTAGTGTACATCTACCCACACAAAACTATGCAACTCTTGTATAATCATTTTAATTGAACTTTTTAAACGTAGCAGAAATATTTTCAAGTAATAAAGTTAGGTGAAACAGCCTGTGTGCTGCAAACGCGCATAACTTGATAGCGGTCGGAAAATTCTGCTGAATTAAAACGAGCCCCCATCGATCATAAGTTCAACTTTGTTGCACAAAAAGAGGCTCCGGGTAAACGTTACGGCACGTGTCAAGCTCTGGACGGGAGAGCGAGTAACGATAACGCGTTTAAATACGTCGTGTAATTTCTTCGTTACGCCAGCGTATAATTTACCAACTAATGACAGTGGTCGACTAATTAATCGATCGACCGCGAATATATTCACGAGGAAACGATCGCGTGTTTTGATATCGAGAACGCTGAATATCGCGTCGCCGTCAATCGCGGGGCTCGATCAACGAATACACGTAGTGAAAAAAAGAAAGGAATAATCTCGGTGGATCGTCGATTCAGTCGATTTGGGAACCGTTAAATGCAGTGGATTGGGGACCGTCAGATCCAGTGAATTGGGAATCTTTAGATCCAATGGTTGGGGAATCGTTGGCTCCAATGGGGTTAGGGAATCTTCGGATCCAATGAATTGGGAAATCGTGGGATCCATAGGATTGGGAATCTTTGGATCCAATGGTTGAGGAATCGTGAGATCCAATGGTTGGGGAATCGTTAGATCCAATAGTTGGAGAACCGTCGCATCTAGTGGTTTAGGAACCGTCGGTTTCAATGGATTGGGAATCGTCGGATGCAATAGTCGAGTATTGATGTCAGGCAACCAACCTGCCACTTTCAGCGGAACCATCCACCCACGACCTTCGCGATCTCGATCGAGGGATCGTTACGAATCGAGGATCATTCGTGAAAAGCTGCTGCGGGATAAAGCGATCATCGGGGTTATTATTCGCAAGACGGTTCCGAGGTCGAGGTGATCTACTCGCGATCTCGATCGAGGGATCGTTACGAATCGAGGATCATTCGTGAAAAACCGCTGCGGGATAAAGCGATCATCGGGGTTATTATTCGCAAGACGGTTCCGAGGTCGAGGTGATCTTAACAATCTTGATAATCGCTCCTCGTGAACATGTGCATAAAGCAGAACTGGTTCGATGGAACTGGTTTAAAGAAATTAGAAGAATTAATTGGTATGGCTCGATGGAAAGTACTTTGGCTGAGAAAAAAGTCGCGATACACACTTGGTTAAGCGATCGTTGCCGGATACCAAGAGCGTGTGTTTAATTAATTGTTGCCCCTTGCCAGAGCTGGAGTCTTTAGGATTTTATCCGATGTGTTCTTTTGGTATCAATTAATCGTTTTCTATTTTGTACGGAATAATGTGATTGCTTGAAATATATAAATTGTTAATGGAATGTTAGACAAATGACATCGTCTTCAGCGAATCGATTATAGTAAAAGGAAAATTGCATTACTGGTGTGACATACTAATCTATACGAGTGTAGCTTTCGTTTGGGTCAGAATTAATGAAAAAGATTTTCATTCATTTGTTTATTTAACAAGGGCGAACATATCAATTAGAAAGTAAATTTGTTTTGTTAATGATTAGACTGCGGATTTATGCATTTATAAAAAATTCAATTTTATCTCGCGATAATCGTTTCGTAATATGCCCAGTAATTCACCACGCGAGGAATGGTTTTCTAATCATGGGACATCTTTCCCACCTCTTCGAAGGGGTCCGTTTATCGACGCAAAAGAACCATGTACGTCCGTTCGATACGCGGGACGAGATATTGCCGAATGGACGCCTTCTCCTATTATCGTCTGGACGCATCGTGGCGATCCAGCCTGTAATTTAAAACAATTTTCAAATAATATATCACGAATCGTAGCTCGGGACTATAAAAGAGGGTGGGCCAGCTCGCGTGTCCCGGTGTGCGTTTTTGTTATTACTGGCATCCGGTGATTTAGCGTATCGTGGGTGGACTTCACTATATAATATTATAGTCGATAAATTTTGGAATAGGATTCATTTAAGGGGAAAAAGAAGTGAATTTCAACCGAAGTATTATATTCCGAATTTTTAGTTATATTCGATGTTTTGAAGCATGAAGTTCTTCTTCTTTTTCTACTTCTGAACTTCTTCGAAACGTTCTTGTTGATCATGTAACCTGATGATCCCAACTAAAGGTTAACGAGAAGTCCTGTTGACATTTGAAATTACTTGGTTCGACGATGTTTCTGCATTACTATCGTGATTAGAGAGAAAGAGAGACTAACGTATGGGTTCAGAAGTTGCGAAGAGTAAACTGGTTTGATCGGTGAAGTCGAAGCCTCTCATTCTAAGTTACATAAAAGGACAGTTGTTCTATCAGCATTAATCGTTAATTATTAGGTACTATTACCGAACTTACAAGTATAATTAATTCTGTAAGTATAGTTAAAGGAGCACTGAGAAAAAAGTTGACTTACATTACATTAATTGTTCTTCTTGTAAAGTACAAGTTTGTTTCAGTTAATTTAAAATTAAACTGAATGCTACTGATTTTACATTGAGCGTTGAACTACGATATCTGATCTGTTCGGTGGCGCTATCTGTAACAGGAACAACAAACTGAAAATTCTGTAGTTTCGAGAGATAGGAGATAATCGTACTTCAGTTAATATTTGAGGGAGCTGGTAGCACTGTAGACACTCGATTAGTATCACCCGTAGATTCCAGTACAAAGGTAATTTTTGTAAATATCCTAGAGTACGGCAGCCATGTTATAGTCGATGGTAACGATATACTGAAGATGGAAAACTTAACGAAACTATAAACAGAAGCTTCATTTGCAGGCGTGATCCAAATAGCTTCCTCGAATTCAGAATAATCGACTTCGATATTTTCAAAATTTTTACAAGTAATGTAAACGGGACGATGACGCGAAAGTTAGGAACCAATCCGAGGACTATAAGCATAAAACACGGTTGCAGGAGAATGTGATGGAAGCCAGAAAAAGGATTACAGTCACTCCTATTCCACTGTGTACTACGTAGGTAGAGACTAGACGCGAATGTTAGAGACTAATTAAAAGGCTACAAACACTAAACCCGTTACTGGTGGATGCAATTACTGCAATTACACGCATTTACAATAAATCAAGCAACAACGTAAGACAATTAGCTGTGTTAGCGATTTTCTCACGTGTCCCGTAAGGGAACACAGGGCGACTAGATAAGCTTGCGTAAAATTTTTATAGCGCGTTTCGAAAGAGCCTCACTCGACTGGCGCCGATATTCGAATCAACGGCCGTCTAGTTACGAGTCCGAGATTGGCTCGTTACGACGCTGCGCGCGTCTAGCTTGGTATTCGCCCGCGTAAAACGGGGCACAGTTTCAACGCGGTGAAACCACCGGGCGTCTCTCCGCTGCCGTTACCAATAAATTACCGGCATCTCTGTGTGTCCAATCACGGCTCACCGGCGAACGGTTGAAAAATTACGAGCGGACCAATCGTCGCGTAGAATGTCCACTGTATATCGCCCGTGTTCTCGTAACCACACCGCCTCCAGCTCGGGACTCGGGGGCGCGCTGAGAGTAAAATCGCGGAAATATCGCGGGCGGTTACATTACAATTCTTGATCGTAATCGCCATTGTATGATAATCCGTGGCCGTTCATCATCCGGGATTCCATTCGCTGACCTGAAAATCTTGTGATTCTGGGAACGCAGCGAAAAAAAAAAAAGGGTGCCAAGGATGCTAATGAGCGATGGCGGCCATTTTATCTGGTCTACGACTTGAGCTAAGTTGATACGTCGATTTCCACCGGGCTAATTATTGTTTTGCTCATGAATCCTAACGATGTTCGTTGTCTTCATGGGCGTAGAAAAGGGGGAGGGGACACTTGTCCCTTCCTGGACGGAAAAAAGTGGATTTTGCTCCACCCTACAAGAAAAAAAATTGGATTTTGCCACATCCCCCCTCCCTTCCCAGAATTATAATATTTTTAAGATATATTTTAAGATATAAGTTCGGGAGCTATTAAACCTTCAAGGGCTCCCTTGATTTAAAAGCGAGGGGAGGGGGGTATTGCTAACTTTCATTTTAATAATGCTTCGTTATATACAATTACTTTCGTTCGATTTATTTCTACATTTAGCGCGATTTTTAGGTGACTACCAACCCTCCTGTTTCATATAAATACAATCGTTGCAGCAAGTGTCGCCACGAATGATTATAAAACGTGGATCGATTTCTAGAAGTAAAAGTTAATATACAATAATGCTTTTCGTTAACAATTCCGTTATTCTCGAAATTAGAGGTCGCCGTGGACTTATTCTTGAACGTGTCCGAAGTTTACATTCAATTACCCCGTTATCGTGGCCTCACGTTACCTGGCACATACATATATCGGATTACGTTGGCTCACCATCGGCTTGTCCACCTTGCTCGAAGTTAATGGCCCGTTAAGCACAGATCATCTCGCGTTAGGCCCCACGATCTTGTACACCTTGGCCGAGCGCATTGTGCTTCGATTCTTGTTACGTTTACATAGCTGAACACGGAGGAAGATCCATGTTACCACTGCGTGCAGTCTGTTAATTCAACGAATTCGACGTAAATATCGTCTCGTTGTGCGTATATTTGTGCTCTGAAAGTTTTCAAAGAGAAATCAGAACAGTCATTTGTATCAATAATAGATAGACTTTGAATTTTATAACTCGATAGCGATAACTCGAACTCTTGTCCGCGCCGGGACAATAATCATGTAGGGAGGAACGCTTCAGACCCTCGTAAATTCGTTTTTTGTCCGAAGCCCGAGCCTCGGCAACAAAAGCGGAGGAGCAACAAAATTTTGCGCTTGACAGGTTCCACGCTCCTCCCCCCCTCTAGGGGGATAACGCCTGGACAATAATCGTGTAGAACAAAACAGACGATAATAGAGAGAAGTCTGTATAATGATTTTATTGGTTAGAATGAAGTTGTCTTCTTAATAATACGATTAACGACATCTAACCGAAAAAAAAACGAAATTACTGTCCAAAGAACCCAATAGAATATACGCCCTTAACAGGTTCAACGAACCCCGAATCACGACATAAATTCTCCTGTGGTACGCTAATTCGAAAGTATGTACGCGCGCTCGATAAATCCCATCGAAAGTCCGTATCGAACGTTAAAAACTGCCGGTTCTCCATTCGGCTCGAGGGCCACCACCGTGACTTACGGCCGAGATCGGCCAATATTTTTCATTCAGGTGAAACGTTACGTACGTTTCGTGTATGTTACGACGCGCAGCCGCCCGCGCCGAAACGAGTTTGCAATCGGAGCGCGCCTGTAACTTCGCGGGCCGATTTTAACCGTCCGTGTCACCTCTGTAAATCCTTATCCCCCAGGTGGATTGATAATAATCGGCCGAAACTTACGAGTTTCGAACGAAATCGGCATAGCGTTGAATCAAATATTATATTAACCCTTAACTGAACGTATGGCCGGTTTGGGTGGCCATCGTACCTTGGAAATTCCAACTTTTATAACGAAAATAATATGTACAGCTTCTAGAATAAATAGACACTTCACGAATAATTATTTAATTTCAATAACTCTGTAACTTGATGGCTGATCAAAATTATTGGAACCAGAATACGAAAAGTGATTCTTTTTTGTGTTAGAAATGAAGTCAAGAATAAGTAAAATTAACAATTGGTCACTAAAAATACACAAAGCAATTAAACATTGCGCGTGTGCTTATAAAGAAGTATAGTTAAAATCGTAAAATTTCTTACGTATTGTATGTTTAATATAAAATTCTGAGGAGACCTTAACTTTTTTTTTTTAACTTTTCCAGAGACGAATTGATCACAATTAAAAGAAAATAATATTTTCTATTTTTCAGCTGCACTTATTTAGCATGTATGTATTAAATATTTGATAGGATGTCTTTTTTCTTTGTCGGAGAATTTCCTAGCAAATATTTGTTCACAATAATATTCATTGTATCTCGTGGAATCATGTTTGAATTAAAGAAAAACTAAATGTACACGTATTTGCTAGTATCCCTCAAGACGTTAATCAGAAAAAAGTGACAAAACTTAAATGAAAGCTGAAGTAAATTAGTACTTTTTATTTTAATAAATTATATTCTTTTTATGAATTTTATTAATGAAGTTTCAGTTTCTGGCAAAAACGGTGCTCATCGCTGATCTAAAGTGTCCTCTGTGGATCGATTAAAATCGCGTCGTCGCTGTCGAGAACCCGGTCAGTCGATGGTAGCAAGAAGTCTCGATAAGAATCCGAGAAGCTGCGTGTGGTCCGTTGTCCGTGAATATCCGTTTAATTCGCACACTGAGGCGCATCAAGACGCGAGTTCCTCGGACAAGAGGCGCCAGTTAGTCAGCTAGTCACGCTGATGAACGATGGCTTAATTAAACTACGCTAGCACCGATCATCTTTTATCGTCCCGTTTCTATAAATCTCTCGAGACCAACCCTCGCTATTCTCGACGCCGTATTCCGTCTCGATTCCATTTTTCAGTTTCCTCCATTTTTGTCCCTATCCAATTTCTCAGTTTCCTCCATTTTGGTCTCTATCCAACGAACATTTACCGAATTAACACTTTTACTGTACTTTCTCTAAAGCGGTTAATTAATTAATTCTTGCATAATCGTCGTAAGTTACAATCGATTCGAAGAGAAAAACTATTGTGCAACACACACGTGCTCGATGACCAACCCACCTTTCCCTAAACACCGACGAAATTTAATTAAATACCCGATAACTAGCAACTAAAAGACTGTTGCGCGACCTCTAATTTCTGACGACAAGATACTACATATTACGGGTTTCACAATTAAGTCGAAACCGTTTTGGCGGCGAGACGACGAAGAGAAAAAAGGGAAGGGGAGGAGGGCGATGTGTTGGTGAAGTGAACCGCGCCGCAAGGCCTGTTTTGCATAAAAATTATAAGCCGAATTAATGTTTTCACCTCCGTAAACCGTGTGGTACCATCCGTGCTCGTGCGCCGCAGCGGTTCGCAAGTCGGGGCCGATGCGTGACTAACACAGTGGTTTATTGCACGTTAATACCGATCCCCCGGTTATTTACCTCCTCCTGGTACTTTCTCACGCGCCGGATTTCTCTGGACGGCTCGCCCTCAAAACGACGTCTGGAAAGAATGCTGGTCACCTTGCCCTACGAAACTTTTTCCCCCTTTTAAATTCGTTCGTTTAACCCTTTCGCTGCAACGGATTCAAAGTTTTGTTATATCGTAACAGAATAAGTCACTGTTCCATGAATGTGTCTGAAAGGTTTTTTCAAAATTTTTTAAATCGTTGATTTTCCAGATGTTGTATAGTGTCAATTTTTTTTTCAATAAAAAGTGTCTGACGTCGAGTAGAATGACCCAGGCGTGAACCATAGACCACCAGTGAATTTTTTAAAGAGCCTATAGGCGCAAACAGCAGTGAAAGGGTTAATGTATCGTAAGTAATGTATTTCTCGATAATTTGTACTAATGTTCGTGCAATTGTTGTTTGTTTCGCAGGTGGTTTGGCTGACCGCAGTCCTGTGCCCGCGGCTTGCTGCCGCCAACAACCTGACATTATCTTTCTCCTCTCGTAAGACTAGGGAACATCCTTTCAGGGGACATATCGCTCGCTGGTAAGTCAATCTAACACTAAAATTTGTTATTTTCAAACACAGAAATATTGCTGGGAGCTGATGAGTTGGTATTTGAAAGAAATCGGGTTGTTTAGGATTTCACCCTTTAGTACGTAATAATCCATTGCTGAAAGGAAAGAGATACCTGCACCCCATAATGTACCAGCAGAATCGTTAGAACTCAGACGAGGTATAGACATTTTATCTTATGGAAGCTGGTGGCCCACCTAAACTGTAGTACCGACACCTTAAAAAGCCTATTATTTTAGCGACCTCTACGTTTTGAGAACGGTGAATCTGCGGTGGGTAGTGACACTAAATAATGATTTCAGCGACCTCTACGTTTTGAGAACGGTGAATCTGCGGTGGATAATGACACTAAATAATGATTTCAGCGACCTCTACGTTTTGAGAACGGTGAATCTGCGGTGTGTAGTGACACTAAATAATGATTTCAGCGACCTCTACGTTTTGAGAATGATAAATCTGCGGTGGGTAGAGATACTAAAATGGAAATTGGGTACGTAACCCCAGAAAAGTGGGCCACAAAAATACATTGGATGAAATGTCTACTTCTATACCTCGTCTGTGGTTAGAATAATACAGTTTCAAAAGTATCGAATTGGAAACTAGACCTAGGTGGCGCCGGCGGCGTGCTCCACCTGCTACGATCTTTTCCAAATCAATCTAATTTCCTCAGCTCCCAGCTACTACACAATTCTACAAACGAACGAAATACCTTGGCACCGTTCAACCTTCACATAGTAGCAATCGGTTATCGCGAGTCGCGTGACACATTTCGAGGCGGTGAATTTCAATTTTCAATCAGCGTCGACCGCGCGAAGTCCGTATATCTCGTCGCCGCCGTGCCGGGGCCTGCTCATTATTTATCGTTACGTGTGTCAACCTGTCTTAATTATTATAAATGACTCGGGCGACACACGTTCGCCCGGCGAATACGGAATCGTACGCGAAGTGTCGTTTTACAAGCGGTCCCAGTTTCCAGATTTGTTTTTTCTCTGTCCTTCCCTATCACTGATCCCCTCTCGTGTGCCACTAGCTGCATTCTATCGTCAACGGTTCAGAGACACGAGCCGCTACGTTATCGGCACGAGTGGAATGTGTCCACAGTCCCCTCCTCCACACCGTTTGACGGGGTCTTTTTCGAACCGTTCGAGTCCCCTGGGCCCGTTTTTTTTTTTTTTTTTTTTTTTTTTTTTTTTTTTTTTTTTTTTTTTTTTTTTTTTTTTTTTTTTTTTTTTTATGTAATTGGCCTCTGATCTAGCCTTGAACCTTCTGGTGACACCACACGAAATAACCTTCGTCCCCCCTTTGATTCGTCGAAATTCGAACGATTGCTCCTGGTTTCTTTTGTTACCCCTTTCGTACCTTTACGTCCTTTCCAGGACGCAGACCTCGGAGGACACGACCAAGCGGATGACTTATCGGGAGATGAACATGATTCTGCGACAGGAAGGAGGCGAGGACGGGCTTCCAGTCGATTGCTGCCCGACGGTATTGGAAATGGTGGAACCGGTCGGCGGTCGAAATCGCGAGGACATGTACGTTCAGCTCTATCGGGACGGTCAGAACGCGCAGAGGTTCTTCGAGTACTCGTGCCGGCCAGACGTCCTCGACAAGCCGTGCCGGTTCATCGACCGGAAGTTCAGTAACCAGTCCAGATGTGTGCAGAAATTCTCGTACACTTACGCTATCATTGAGAATTCTGGACCGAAGGTGCGTGTACCTCTGTGTAATAACTTCGCACACGAACATAGAGTCCAGAAAGGGTTTTTTTCAAGTAGCAGCCTCCTGGCTGGCCGGTCCAGGTGAACGTCGTCCGGGATGAACCGTGCCCGCGACGGGTTCGTTAGCCGGACTAGTTCCCTGACGTTCATTTTAGAAGATCCTTCGAAAGATTAGGAAGAAACCGTGTCTGTGTTCGCGTCGGTCTTCGCGATTCCAGGGGAAAACATAGTCCTAGCGTTCACTGGCCTTCTTCCTCCAATGCATCCACACAGCGCGTGGACAACGGGATATTCTCGTGGTAGATCACACGTCTACAGATGTTCCATAATTTTTTGGACCCATTTTAGCGGAAAAAATAAAGAGAATTGTATCACTAGGCCATCCGATCTCTTCGATTAAGCTGGTGAAATAATTGGACAAGTTTTCACTAAAAAAACACGGATTATACCCTGAAGCTGCAATGGCGAATATTTTTATGCGCGCATGCCAAAAATTTACGAATAATATTTATTGAATTACCGACGTGCCGGACGATTTTTAACAGAAAAAATTTATTAACAAATTAATTATTGCCAAAATTACTGTTACATTATTTATTAAAGAAAAATATTGTTCGGTAAACATATGGCTGTAGCCTGTAGCACGATCTTTTACTATAATTAATCTTTAACAAAATTACGTCATTACAGTTAGCCACAAATAATGAAATTAAGCACGAGGACAGGGATTTTTCAATTGAAACATATCCCCTTGTAATTGTTCCAGAAGGGTGGCAAAGGGGAGCACAAGAGGCACCACAAGGAACGTCTGACGTTCACCGCGAACACAGAGGGCGGGTCGATGTGGACGTTGGACTACATCAGGGTGCGAAGCGGCTGCAGCTGCGAGGTCATGCCGAAACCGAAAAAGAAGAAGAAATGCAAGAAGTGTAAACCGAGGGGGGACCAAGATTTCTTCGACACGGAGACGTGAGATCTGGTGGGCGGTTCGAGGGAATCGGGAACGTTCCACTACCTCGAAACTCGGTGATACCAACGTGTCGAGTTACGATCCGCCGTCCCCTTCGATCATCCGGCATTATTCGTCGAAAAAAAGAAAAAGAAAAGAAACGTCTCAACACAGTCTGGTCAAGCGTTTTTGCGTACATTGAGACTGAGAACGTTACCAATGAACAGGGTTAGCTCTTCGACACGTTCACGCGTTACCTACCGGTGGGATTATTCGTTAGGTGTTTTAGGTGAAAAAGAGAAGAACCTATTCGTAAATAAGAAGTCACGATCGTGATGCAGTAAAACAGTCCTAATAAAGTTATAACTTCTTTTTTAATCTTGATTCAAAGGTGAAATAGTAGGCCTGGTATTGATAGGTAGTGAGATCAGAGTCGATTAGTAGTCAGAAAGGTGTCAACTGGAATTCTTACCCAGTAGCAACACGTGAAATTATATTTATCGTTTCAGTTTTAAATAACCCGACTGTACCCTATTTTTCGTAAATTGATAAAGTGGAACAAGAATGTTTTGCATACAATGAAAATTCACGAAATGTATGACTTAACGGAAGTGAAGGTAGGTTGGGGACAGTACGGTTTGTCCTTTATCGCCGGTGAACGTGTCGAGCGGGGGTTAGAATGTTTCACGTTGAAAAGAACTTGTTCGCGACCCCTCTTGGGACACTTGCATCGTATGTATTAATATATTGTCACCGCGATAGAGGTTGTCTTCTGTTGTTGTATTTATTATTGATATGTAATTCTTAGGATACGTTAGGGATTAAGAGATAGGATTTTATTTGTGGAGGTTCTGCCAAACTGTATTCAGCCTACTTTTGTTAAGATTGACGTCGCGTTGGTGAAGCGATGATTGCTACAGCCGGATCGTATTCAGTTGACCGTTCGAGGTCATTTAAACTAGAATAACTTTACACGTAGACGCTTTCTTTAAGTTTCTATTGCTTGTTTTCAGTATTTCGTTTTTCGTTTTTTATTATAAAAGTAGAGACAAATAATATTTTTTATTTTCTTTAAAAGAAATCCGATTCAATGAAGATTTTGTCCGAGAGTTCATTGAACAGTGAAAATTGTGACAGTATTTAACCTTGTACTAGCAAATAGTTATTGTGATTCGGAGTAAGAGATCGATCGGGATACGTGGCGGGGATGTAGCTTAACGTTGACCTTGAACCAACCGATTTCGCTGCGGCTATTAGCGCGATAAAGTCAGTAGAATCTCCTTAGACGAATGCGGGCAGACTGAAGAATTCGAAACGTTCGAGGAATTGATTGCCAATCTTGTTAAACGCGTCTCTAAAATCATCACTAGACTACGGATACGTATCCGAATTGACGGTTTTATGAACGAATTTACAACCATAGAAAGAGAAATCAAAGTGAATTTTAGTTCATTTAGGGTTCTTACTAAATGGAACATGGAAACAGAAATGTAATTAAACTTTATATAGAATTATTTTGTTGTGATTTGATCGCAAATGGATAAAATCCGCAGTCTAATCATCACCGATATCACAGGGTATAAATGTACTAAAGAAAAAAAAGGAAATGCTTGATATTATCGTTTTGTAATAGTAGACGGACGTCTCGATGAAGCTTGTATTTAACACATAGGCAAACACTTTTCGTCTCATTTTTTTTTTACACGCGGCCAGTTCTTATATCATGCACTTCTATCTGTACATTAGAGAGTCGTGCCTATTTGTTAATTTATTATGATAGCCGTAAGAGGAACGTAGGTTTTGTAGCTTACCATTAATTATAGTGTGAAGTTTTACAGATCTGCTTAGGAGTCGTTATGGTGTCGATAACGAGGGCCAAACAGAACGCTACTTAAATTTATTTAACTAATTAAACGTCTTTTTACAATAATTACTATGTTTGATTGTTTGTGTCATTTTTTTTAAAGCACTGACTAAGAGATTTGGGGGATGCGATGTGTAGCGTTGCATTAGCTAGTAGCCATGACAAATATTGATAAATCTGAGTACGTGGTAAGACGAACTGTTGAGAATTGGATTAACGAGTTACTGAATAATCTGGAATTTAAATTCACTGTATATGTGAAGTTTATTTTATAGTCGGAGTACATAATTACATTTGTACAAGTATAATTTCTAAATTCTATTAAAACTTACATAAATTGAATGCACGAAATACGAACCTAGAGCTTGCGCCATTTTAACTGTCCTTTACGTTTTACTTGTTGTGTCTTGTACATATGAAAAAGTACAGAGGTGTTAACATAAATATATTTTTATCCCGCACGCGCTATATTAATATAACATGTAAATTATAAGTAACAATGATTTCGTTCAGGATTGAAAAGTGTTCGATAAGAATGTACTTAAGTAGATCGCAGTTGTCGAATGTACACAGCCATAACGTGAATCACGAACAAAATAGTTGTTATGCCATCGCTCCGTTTTAACGTATTTATGAATGTACTATAGTAAACGATAACTTACGTTTAATTGTTAAGGATCTTTATAATAAATATATTTTTTATTCTATTATCGTGTTTGTCGTATTAATATCTTAACAAGTGGCTTCAACCTGATAACACTCGTGTATTATAATTACGCATCAGGCTAGCAGATTTATGTTCTGTAGCGTCGTGAATTTCCTGTCCTATTTTTCCCGCACTTTTCTGAATCCAAGATGGCCGAAACTTTACAATTACTAGTTATTTATTTATGGAAAATATGGAATAGTCATAGTGATAGGCTTAATAAACAACACATATGTACCACTTAACTGTTTGTTATTGCAGAAATCTGATGAAAATACACAATTTTCAGTAGTATTTGATATATTTCACAACAATTGCCTTAAATACTACTTATATATATATATATATATATATATATATATATATATATATATATACACATGAGTTTACAATATATTTGTAACAATAGGTGCATAAATTCAGTAAAACATAGCTTAAATATTATTCAAACTTATAACAATAAAAATAATTCCCTCTTCTGTAACTTGTAAATCTTCCGTACAATGTTTAAAGCTTCATAGGGAATAGTTTCATACATTTGTCGTCGAAATTTTCATTCTTGGGGACATACTCTCATTCGCACATTTAACCCGCCACTGCTATATGCCGCATAGAGTGTGTTGCTTGAGTGAGCTCGTGGGGTCATAGAACCCCGGAGGAAGCGCTAGAGACCCCGTGTATTGACAATTTGGGGTTATAGAACCCCAGCACGTGGCGCCGGTGACCACACGTTGAGAAAGCGTGGGGTCACAGAGCCCCCGGTGTAGAAGCCAGAGACCCCGTGCGGAGAGATATTGGGGTCACAGAACCCCACAGATGGCGACAGTGACTCCGCGTGGTGACCATGTGGGGTCATAGAACCCCCGGTGCAGACGCCGGAGACACCGTGTGGTGAGAACATGGTACGTGGTAACTCGTACAACTCGCGAGCTCGGTCGAATGTTGCTCGTGCAACTGTCGAATTGGGACTGACGCTTGTGCGTGTTCCCGTGAAGAAATTAGATAATAACCCCAGCACCCATGGCAGTTTCTGCAGATACTACTACAGCCCAAGTTTAAAAGACGTAGGCAGTAGTTAGTTTCTGTAGAAACCTGTTGAACC